CCCATAATATCATATATATACATTGCGTTTTAACACATATTATTCTATGTTATGGTCTAGATTCTAGAACTTACTACTGCATGGTGCAAGAGGGTGAATGTCATCATTTGACTCGGTGCCAGTTAGTGGTGCCACGTAGTGGGAGAATGTAGAACTACAAGAAAAAAAAAAAAAAAAAACAAAAAAAAAATAAAAAAAAAAAAAGAAAGAAAAAAAAAATATAAATGTGCGAAACAACGTGACAACATGTCGGCGTCTGTTTCGGATCAGACCTTGGAGGAATTGAACTTAAAAGCAACCTTGAGTGAATTAATGAGTAAAAAAGAATCGATTGAAAATGACATAAAAGACTCATTATCTACTTTGGAGTCGGTAGGCTACATGCAATGGCAGGGAAATGTTATAATTTAAATATTCAACGTATTTATGCATCACTGCTCATGTGACTTATTAGTGCAGCTGGACCAAGCTGTGAAAAAGCGGCCTCTATTTAAGACGTTGGGGCGTGTGAAACATCTCACGAGTTAGCCGGCGAGGCGAGCTCACCGATCTCCAGACAGGTGAACTCATCCCACGAGTTGAGCTCACCGATCTCCCTTCGGGTGAACTCACCACAATGTGGGTGCGAGTTGGCCGTAGACCGTGCAGTGTGCCTCTACTTCTACTAATAGTACTATTGGGGACTATTGATTGAATACAAATTTACAATTGGTGTCCCCTGGACCTAATGGCAAATTCTAGTTTGGGACCCCGGCCCTGATTTTAGCAAATGTGGGGGGTAGAGACTTTATAATCCACAGGTCTCTTCATGGTCTTGGCTCTTGCCTATTCATATCTATCCAGAAATATGTCCTTCGTTCGCAGGACGGCAGAACAAAACAGCGTTCTAATGATGCTACTCACGTGTTTTTGCGTATTTTTCGCGATTCCCAAGTTCGTGTATTTCACATCATATCACTGATATCAGTAATGGCAGTTACCACCGCCCTCCATGTTCAGTGTATCTCATCTGGGCTTATCATAGAGATAACATAGATTCATCATAACATAATTACATACATTAGATATACATTCATCATAGAGTCAGTCCTGGTCATGGTCGTGGTCAGGCCAGGGTCCTCAGGCTCAGAATCAGTGTGCTGGGCTTAATTCTGTCTGACAGTGGTCAAATATTGACCAGGCTCCGAATGTACAACTATTTACTATAACACTTTGACTCAGCATTTAGCCTGCCAACCAGGACAGCTATTGTGATGACCCAATACAACCTTCACCAAGAGCACCAAAAGTCTGAAGCCATTGCAGCAGTCAAAGTGTTAAAAGCAATGTGTATATAATTTACCTAACCCTAACTCCGTAACCTCATCTGATCAATAACCCTAGGAGTAGGTATAAAATTATTCAGTGTAGAGCATGCTGAATCTTAAATTGTATCTTTCATCTGGAGATTTGAGGTTTTACATCTTCCTATTTCACTGTCTTTGGATAAACAACCAAGAATCTGCTGTATCAATATATTTTGCCCATAGTTGAGTGGTTTTTATTTTGCACAGATCGACAAAATCATGATTGAGTTACATACATTATTATTTCCTTAATTATTATTCTCAGCTCTAACTGGTTATGACCTTGTTTATAATATGTGCTTTCTCCATATATTTTTAGGAAAAAGGTGTTGGAATGCATCAAGCGCTCATAGATGCTGAAGACTACCCACGTCAAGATGTTGATGTATATCTAGTCCGCCACACTCGCCACAAAGTACACTGTATGTTGATTGTTAATTTTGCAAACTGCGTTTTTCTTTTCTTTTTTAATTTATGTATGTACTACAAATGTTTCTATCAAATTATTGGTTTTCATAGTTTGTTTATGTGAGGTTCAGGATTGTCGTTTCGACATTGACAAATGTAGTGAGACATGATCTACGCTATAATTATTACAGGAGTTCTTATAGCAAACCTGGTGCAACAATTATTCACAAAATGCTACTTAAATTATGCAATGATCATTTCCTAACAGGCCTAAATACTGACCACAAAGAAATCATGAAGCAAATCGAAGAGAATCTGCATGCGTTGCACGCTATCGCGAAGGCAAGAAAAGCTGCGATGGGAGACCATGAGCCCGTAGCAGCGACCAAACCGGTGAAGCCGAGAAGCAGCTTTGCACATGTTAATAGCGTTGCGGAAGGTTCTCCAGCAGAGCAAGCTGTAAGTAAAATTGCTCCGAACATATGTTTACCAGACTTCTCAGCTAAGTATGGTGATATCTTTACATTAACTGTTGCTATGCGTAATATTTTCCTGCTTCACTCGTGTATGCTATATATACTGACAAACATTGTGTAGGCATATATTGTATGACAATTCTAGTAAGAGCGCCAAACCTGAGTAACAACCCACGTGGTCATCTGTGCATAGCAAGCAATGTGATTTTATGCTCATGAAGCAGTTTTGGTTCCATATCAAAACCCGAATATTAATGTGCACTATGATCAAACCCATTGTTGTACGTAAATATATATGTAATTAGAGTGTACTTGTGTTTTGGAACATGTCTGATTTATTTATGTGCATCCACAAAAGCTATATACCGATATAGTGAATCTAACTACAGATTCTGACAGAGTGGTGCACCTAATGTTTAGAAATTGGGAAAATCTTGATTGCCTTAGAATTTTGCATGTTTTCGCATTCATAAAACTTACACAAATTTGTTCTCTGTCAACGTAGTTCATGTCATGTAATAGATTTCTACGTTTTCAGGGTTTGGTAGTTGGTGATGGCTTGGTAGAGTTTGGTTCCGTAATCTCAGAAAACTTCAAGTCTCTTCAGGATATCGCTGCTGTGGTGCAACACAGTTTGGGGGTAAGTATGTTCTAAGAGGTTTTATCAAATATTTACTTGGTCATTATATTTGATTATGCCAATAATTATTAAGAGCCTGTTTTATCATTTCATTTGACTTTATACTTTATAGTGATAGCCATGGTATTTCTTCTGATAGAACCGCTTAATGTCATATAAAAATACAAAAAGTAAGCGTTTGTTCTGGAAGTATTCCTTATGCATAGATATGTATAGATATGTATAAATATATTCATGCATTTTACTGCATATCCTAATTGCTTTTACTCTAATTGCAGGCTCATGTAAATGTTCTGGTGCACAGGAATGGTAGAGAGATGAGGTTAACATTAGAACCTAAGAAATGGCCAGGAAGAGGACTGCTGGGGTAATAAATTTTAACAATACACTTTCTGTTACTTGTAGTTATGTGTCATTTTGGTAGAAGTGAGTGACATCGATATTATATCCTGATTTTTGTTAAGGAAATGAGGAAATATTCAAATTGAAACCTTTTACATTAAGTTTCATTTGTATAATTCATGAAGTCAAGTTGTATATAATGCCTCTGAAATGCTCAAGCACTTGATATATTTCCCAAGTGATTGTCATAATAAACATACAATAAGTTCCTATCTCTTAATGTACTGAATCTGTAGCACAACTGTATTAGGTACCAAGAAGGAAAATTGAACCCACGTATATTTTTTATTTAAAAGCCAAATTTATTTAAAAGTCATGGTTATTTTATAGGTAAATCTTTAATCAATTTATCACAATTTTAGTATTATGTGTGACTGTAACGCATGTTTTTGATTCCCTTTCAGATGCAACATTGTCCCTGGTGGACAGTAAAGAAAGTTCCATATGCATATTAAAAACTGGGAAATACATTGTAAAAAAACGTTTGTATTACCATGAATACTAAAATAAGCCTTTTCCTTATTACTATAGTAAACTCATTAAAAAAATTCGTTTAAATGTCATTGTAATTTATAAAAAATCTGTTAGCTGGTAGGATTGAGATAGTTTACTCAATCACATTGCAATCTGGCCTTGTAACCATTATGATATTATCCTGCTATTATGGTTACAGTTGCTGTAAATATTATTGCATAATTCACAAAAGCATGGAAGAGAGAGCATTTGCAGCATGGATAATTTGCTGTGTTCCATGTTATAGGCTCTCCTATTCCAACAGTAGTGAGGTATGGGCAAATGGTACCTGTTCACATGTCTCGTGTGGGATTTCTTAGCAAAGATTAAAAAGGAGAGCACGATAAAGTAATTTGACTGCGAAATAATATGCAGTTTAGTTATTCTGTACATAACGGACGTTTAATTAGAATTTTTAATTACAAATACGTTGAGGTAAATCCGTAAAAGAGTTGTTGCACCATATATTTTCTCTCCGTATATAATTGCTGTATTAATTGCTAATAAACGCAATATGTATTGACGGAAGTAGTGCGTAATGCTTGTCTATCGACTTTCTCTCGTATCTGCCTTATTTCCTGGGTGTGTGATGCACATACACGGTATACATGGGTTATTTGTCTCTATACAAGTCGGTCCCCCCTAAATCTCCACATGATCAGTATTCCTCCTGATATTAGCTAGTTACCAGTTACCACCACCAGGGGTTATGAACCACCTATGCAAAGTAAAAGAATGGAAATAACTACATATTTCTAGCAATTTCGACACCAGGTGGCGCTAAATGCAATGATCGTACGTTCATATTTTTAGAATTTTCTCATCCAGGTAAATTGGAGTACCTTTCAAAGATAGGCTAATCGCTATTTTTATCATTGCTGCTTTGGCACGCATCTTGTATGTGTATTTGACGCATTAGGTATTAGACAAAAATAACGGTAGTTATACACGCATATAGGAAAAATGCACATCTTAAAAGTATCCGTGTGCGCGCGTGCGTGTGTGCGCGCATACGTGTGTGTGCGCGCATACGTGTGTGTGCGCGCATACGTGTGTGTGCGCGCATACGTGTGTGTGCGTGCGTACACGCGTTCGTACGTGCGTGTGTGTATATAAAACTAGGGTATAGCTACATTTCTACCTATACACAAACCGCTCAGTAATTTGCGCTATTTACTTAAGACTTCACGCATCCTAATGAGTAACAGAGTGGGCATACGTCATAATACATTTTCTCACTTTCTACTCCACAGCATAGTGAACTTGAATTGTTCAGAAGTTGCTACATTTGCTCGTTTGTTGTGGTGAATAATTTTCTTCTCTTTCCGCTGCTCAGTAATTGCAGAGTGTTGGTGCGTGTGTACTTTGCTCTCGCGGACAGGACGTGCCACCGTGTGCCAAGCGGTAGTTTGCCCTACTTTTTGGCGTCCACCGCCATATCATCATCATCGCCATCAAAAACCATCAGCAGCCACATATACTAGGCCAGTTTGAAAATATAATAGATTTCCCCTACTGTTCCTACAGAAATGTGCATCTTGATAATATAGATAAACATAATAACATTCCACAGTAATAACTTATAACTTATTAATGACATAATAACACAGATGTTAATCCCTATGGCTGACTGAGCCAACTATCTACATTTTAGCTACGTGTCAGCATCTCAACCCAATATTTATTATTTACGTTTATTGTGACTCGTTATTCGATCTATATTTATTTCAATAAACGTGGCAGATCTTTATACAAATGTGTATGTTAATATCTATCTAGAGTATACGGTTAACTACTCATTAATACGTTATATTATTCATAATACATATTCATTATAATTGATTTTTAAATTTAATTATTTCATTTAATCAATCAATCAATCATTTAATTTTTGAAAAATATTATTACGATTGGTGAGATGATTTGGCCGACAATAACTTTTTACTACGGTACAACACTATTTTCGGCACCCACTTCTATTTCTCACATTTTAAAGTTTTGTGATTTTATTGAAATGCTGTGATTATTTTGCTGTGTCTTAAAAAAACTTATCGCATCATTAGTTATTGCAATAATTTGTTGTTTCGCTAAACGGAACTGTTTAAAAGACGCTAGTAAACTGGGGCTATACTTACGTGTTTCTTGATAGTTTTACTGATTTCAACGCATTCATTCTGCACCCAACATTACTTAAACCAGCGCTAGTTTCATAGTGAATAAGATAATGGATGTTAGCAGAATTAGTGGCGAACATCAAGACTTCTACAAGAACGAAGATTTTATAATTGAGCTGCGAATATTAATCAGCCTAATAAATTGTCCATGTAATCGTAATTGTTGGCCGGCTCACTCGCTTACTGGATCTAAATATGCAAAAAGTTATATATAGGGCCTATATATATATATATATATATATATATATATATATATATATATATATATATATATATATATATATATATATATATATATATATATATATATATATATGTGCCACCTCTGTTACATAAAGGATAAGTAAATTTTGTTGGAATGAGGAAACTCACAAGACGATCATATGAATAGCCCTATGTCGAATAAATTTCACGAATGATTGCGTTTTGGTGTATTCGCCTATCGTTTAACGTCGTATATCGTATGACGAACAACATTCCCTTCGCGTTAGCCCACACATCAAGACGGCTATATTATTATATTCTATAATAAGAACGATTTTTCTCTCTAGCGCGACAACCGTTACATCCGGCTCGCTATAAAGATCCCGAAGCGGTACGTCTTTCGGTCAGATTCAGTCAGCAGGTCACGATCAGCGAGCTTGTTCGCAAGGAAGACTTATATGGCGAGTAGTGGAGCGATCGCCATCTGGCGATAAGGCGTGCGCGGAAGGAGACAGCGCCGGTCGTACGGTCATTATCAGCGCCGTGGCGGCGAGCTCCCAGTCCCTCCCACCGCTAAGCCTGCTGTCACTGGCGATCGATTCACGGTGGTAAGAAATTATAAAAGACGTGTAATTTTCGCGATAGCGGTCACCTGGTAGAGCGGACCGTTGCAACGCGCGCGGGGCCGGCCCGCGGTGAATGACCTCTACCGTCACGATACGCCGCTGAGATTCGCATATATGCGGATGTCTGCCGCAACATCAATGGATGGTCAGCCAGGCGCGAAAGCGTGCGGCATTCATTCCGGCAGCCGTGAGAGGGTGGCGCAAAGCTCGCCAATGACCTGACCCCGTTACTGGGTACAATGCGAGGTAGCGCGCGATATCGTCTTCACACATCGCCTCCTATTGTTCCAGTTATTGTGCGTGCTGCGCCACGGGCGTTTATAGCTGGGAGCGGTAAAGTCAGTGCTCCGTCCACGCGCCAAGAATATTTAGTATGTCAGCATGTGCGCGGCCAACGCGGAATCCGATTACGGTGTTTTGTAGGTCGCCTGCTTCGTTACGCGGCCGCGCGCACTGATTTGTGGTCGTCGCGTCGGTCACGGTCAGGGTCACTGAGTGACGTCATATTTGGCTGTGTAGTAGATGGCGCGGCATGCATGCCGTCAAACGCAGGTCGATATGTCTATAGGTCTGTGTTTATACGCTGAGGTTCCGAATTATAAAAGCGCGGTAAGCGTGAAATATGTGTGCATTGATGTTCCTTTTCATATATATATATAAATAAATAAATAAATATATATATATATATATATATATATATATATATATATATATATATAGTATACCGATTTATATGTATATACGAGTTGGTAGCTAGGCTTCAACACGGTGTTAATAACGACAAAATAACAACATAGTTTTTTTTATAACGTGACTTTTTTCATTATAAAACAATGTTAAAATACCATTTATGAGATGGTAATGGCTTCAAATGATATCGAATATGGCCGCACGCGTGTCACTGATCATTGGACAGTAAACGAAGATGAGTGAATGTTGAAAACACGAATTATGCTTATTGTAAATGACTATTGACTACTGTGCATAAAAACTCCCCAGCGTTAACCTTGGCTCTCTAATGATTGTGTTACTTACAATTGTTATAGGCACCCCACTAGTTTCCATATTATACAGCTTGCTTAAATTATTAGAACTATAGTATACCTCCGCGTACGCCGGTATTTTGTCATAAATAGTAAACAAACTGTATGACATACCGTGTGTAAGCTTAAGTTACTGTCACACCATAACATAATCTGATTCTATTAGAATCGTATCTTACATAGAATCCGATTTATTATTAACTGCCACATAATTACCGAGTCAACCACGTGAATTTAGAAGTATCCAATGACCGTTTGGCACTATAGTTTAGTCTACTCTTATGCACCATATCCGCCACTGTGTTTTTGTATTCTACACTCCGATCTAAAGTGAGAGGTACTATGCAGCTAACACAATTAAGTTACACTGCCATTGCGATCGTATATCGTATTCTAATACGGTTATGTTCACCGCTACTGGTCTAGTCAAAACAGTAGAGCAGCTCTACTAGTTAACGTGCATTGAATCTCGATTGTATTAATACTTGTTTGGTTATTGGGACTTTGAATATTCACTCGCAGCCTCAACAATTATCCACGATAATTTTTCTACTAGTGTTAATTTACAAGTGCTCGTGCGCTTACACGTTTGATTTGTATAAAATCGCCTCATAAATACAATATCATTAATACAGTACGATACAATACATTAATACAATATAATTGTACACTGAATCTCTATATAACAAGACAACACGTAGGCCAATGAATGAATATGATTGCGGCTAGAAACGTACTTCCCAAATTTAATTCTTTGTACACTTAGACGTACGTTCCTAGACGATGAGTGATGATTGATAAAACGCTGAATGAAATGAGTGAACGACGATAGCGAAGGTAATGGAGAATCGAAAAATGACTGAACGATCGATGGAATGAATGAACGATCGGCGAGGTGAATGAACGATCGGCGAAGTGAATGAACGATCGGCGAGGTGAATGAACGATCGGCGAGGTGAATGAACGATCGGCGAGGTGAATGAACGATCGGCGAGGTGAATGAACGATCGGCGAGGTGAATGAACGATCGGCGAGGTGAATGAATGATCGGTGAAGTGAATGAACGATCAACGAAGTTAATGCTGTGACAGCGCACCGACACCCACCTCTGGTTGTCCCGGTATATTACAACATACCTCCCCGGATTCGATTCCCGGCGCTCTAGAGTTACATCACAATTGGTGAGATACGAAATGACTTTGTACATACGCAGCTCATGAAAATGAATATGCTCTCTATCCACAACGTCATGATCGAATACGCACGAGAGTGAATATTAGTGAAATGCATTAATACAAAAACATGCTATATTTGGTGAGATACCATGTCAGCCTGACAAAGTGCCGGAATTATTTATCAGAGAGATGATTTCATATAAATTACAAATATATCTAACCTAATACTTTTTGTTTTATGCCTTAGACATGACGAAGTGTTCAGGAGCGTCTAAGTGTTTTCGGCTCTCGTTCCGTGTGCGCATGCATAGCAGCACACAGATAATGATTGCAACTATTAGCACACCGCCCATGATGGCCATACCCCACGCGAATCCGGTCTTTGTGATGCACATCTCGTCCTGTACGGCGTATCTGGCATTCCAGTCTGCAGAAAAGATATCGAGAGGAACATCAGTATACGAGGCGCAGTGCATCCGAGATCAACGATCGCGTTTTTATTTTATTTTTAAGTTATTCGTCATCGTGTAGATGCTAGCTAATTATTCGTTCTATGAAGAATGATTTTAATGGCGATTGCTGTGCACTACTTACAACGTGGAATGGGCTGTTCGCCTGGAAGAATTTAAATGGTGATTGAAAAAAGTAAAACTATTTTTTTAATGACTGAAACAATTTAAATGGTGATTGCTGTGCGATGACTTACAGCGTGGAATGGGCTGTTCGCCTGGGAGAATGATCGTCAGGCCACGGAAGACCTCGATCTCCTCCTCAACCGTGTCCTTGCTCCTTGGCTTCTGCTCCTCGATCTCATTCTCAATGACTTCGGTTGCGTTGGCGTCACGCTTTCTCCTATTGCTGGGCGTGGCTGTGCATGTCGACTGCAAAGTGGCGAGACGGCAATAGAATTTAATACGCTTCCACACAAGTCACGGAAATTCATCAATGGAGGATGAGTACAGCAAGCATATCCGCTCGCATTAAAATTCGTCGGTGTATAACGCGTAATGTATAGGAACGCCGCGTGTCTCGTTGTTATGTCCGCCATTATTACTAACTTACCCTATGGCACTTGTCTCTGCAGACCTCGACCGTGCACTGGAAGTAGACGTTGTTCTTGTCCGGGAACTTGAATGACTGGAAGTTGGTGTAGTGGACGACATCGCCGTTGACGAGGCGGTCGTGCTGCATGGATGACACGAACTCGGGGTCGTGAGCTGGGCAGCCATCCTCGTCGATGAGAAGAACCTTGTTGACACCAACGCCGTCATGGGCATAACAGTTGGTCACGTAGACGTCCCAAGTAGCTGTATAGAAAGAATAGCGCATATATATTATATTATGTACATAATTAATTAATAAATAAATAAATAAATATACATATATATTATTCGTTTTGAGCGTGTACGGAATTTTCCACAGGGGTGCGTGTGCTATAAAGTGATAATGTGCTATAATGTGATGTTTGAACGCCTGGTGCAAGATTTTCTAAGTAATTACGCGTGCATCTACGTGTTCGTGCTTACGATTTTCCTTGTGGCTGATCGACAGTGTTGCGGTCTCGCCGACAGTCAAGCCCTCGGAGGGAGTGGAGTTCGGGTCCTTGCCGTTGGATACCTTCATGAAAACGTTGGGTGGGTTCGTGTTTCCGACCTCGTTGACAATGTTGACTGGCTGCACGGTGCCGCCGGTCTGGCACTGCACGGTGTATGCGCGATCGGTGCTGCCCAGGATTCCTGGATGTCCCATCATGATGAGCGTGTTTCTGTAGGTGAAGCCTGGATTTCCCTGCTGATAGAGCTGGCTCTGCTGTAGAGAAAAAATGAAAAGAACTTAGCCAAATGCTACATCGGCAATACGCCGTGGGTTTCAGATTATGTGATCGCACATTTTCAGATGCACGCTAAGAAGATGATATATTGAATAAATATGATTGGAAATCCAAGTTAAAAAACAACAACTAATGCAACATTGATGGCTTACGTCTGGGGTCTCGGCTGTACCACATCCGTCGAGTGGCATCTCGAACTGCATGTAGTTGGAGCCGTAGCCCTGGCTGGAGCAACGTGGCTGGCCGAAGTAACCGCGGGCGAACACTTGTCCCTGGAAACCGTTGGCCATCTTGACGGTGACTCGCATCGTGCGACGAGCGGCATCGCATTCAGTGCTGATGTCCTGGACGACGTCCTGGCCGCTGACGGCCTCACCAACCTGCTGACCTCCCTGTTGCGGTGTGATGAGGCCACGACCGTAGTCCTGTCCTGGCTGGATGAATTGCGATGGTTGCTGCTGCTGCTGCTGCTGCTGCGGACCGAATTGTCCCTGACCTCCTATTTGCGGTGTGAATTCTCCCTGGTATTGGGGCTGGGGTCCGTATACGTTCTGTCCTGGCTGCTGGGGTCCGTATGCGTTCTGTCCTGGCTGCTGGGGTCCGTATGCTTCCTGTCCTGGCTGACCGTTGAAAGGCTGCTGTGGGTATGCGCCGGCCTGATCCTTGTCAAGAACAGCTCCACCGACTGGGTAGTTTCCAGCACCACCACCGACGCCATGTCCTCCACCATATCCACCATCGCTGAAACCACTGCCGTATCCACCCTGGCTGCCTCCGTAGCCGCCTCCGTATCCGCCGCCACCGTAACCAGCTCTGCCGTGACCGCCACGGCCCTTGCCTCCGTACTGGCCGGCATGCTGTCCGCCATAGACTCCAGTGTCGCTGATGCCCTGTCCGTAGCCGCTCTGTGCTCTGCCTTGTCCCTTTCCGTATCCACCGCCGCCGTAGCCGCCGGCATCGTCGTAGCCGGATCCGTAGTTGTATTCGTATCCCTGGGAGGCTCCGCCGCCGCCATATCCGGCTCCGACCACTCCCCCGACTCCTCCGTGACCGGCTCTGCCGCCTCCATGTCCGATGTCACCACCGATGCCGCCGCCATGGCCTCCAATGCCACCAGCAATGCCACCTCCGTAGCCGCCGCCTCCTCCTCCTCCTCCTCCTCCTGCTGCATGTACGCCGGGTCCGTATCCTCCCGAATAGCCTTGAATAGATTTGTCTCCGCCATAGCCGCCATCATTGTTGCCGCCATAGCCGCCATCATTGTTGCCGCCATAGCCGCCATTGTTGTTGCCGCCATAGCCGCCATCCCGGGGGAATTGCTCGTGTGGCTAACTGCGTTGTCCCTTGTTCCAGATATCGCGCCACGCGCCGCCGTAGCCTGCACGGATACGTCGGGTAAAAAGGCCGATGCCGTGAGTTGTTTCGGTATCCTGGGAGGCACACTGCCGCCGCCCCAATCGCTCGGTCGACCAGAGAATTAGAGAACGTAGCTCCGACTTCGCCTCCCCGTGAAAGACCGGCTCTTGGCCGACCTCTCATGATCCGCTGTCACGCCACGATGCCGCCGCCATGGCGCTCCAATGCACAGCAAAGCTACTCTCCGTAGCGCGCCGCCTCCCTCCTCCTCCTCCTCCTGCTGCATGTACAGCCGGATCGTATCCTGGGTTCGCCGAATAGCCCTTGAATAGATTTGTTGCGTCCGCCATAGGGCCAGCCATCTTTGTTGCCGCCATACTGCCGCCATCATTGTTGCGCGCCATAGCGCCATGCATTGTTCCGCCATACGCCGCCCATCATCTGTTGCCGCCATAGCCGGTACCATCATTGTTGCGCCATAGCCGCCTATCATTGTTGCCGCCATAGCCGCCATTGTCGTTGCGCCAATAAGCCGCCATCTTGTTGCCGCCATAGCCGGCCATTGTTGCGTTTGCGCATAACGTCCGCCATTATTGTGGCCGCCATAGGCCAGCATCTTTGTTGGCCGCGCATAGCCGCTATTGGTCGGCTGCCGCCATTAGCGCCGTTATGTGTTGTCCCCCATAGGCCGGGGCCATTGTCTTTGGCTGCCATAGCCTCCCGTGGTTGTGTGTTGTTGTTGTCACCGCCGTGGACCTCCGCTGGGACCGTCAGTGCAGACGATAGGCCTCGCCTCTTGCGTTATCAGCATATCCTTTGTTGTTGTTGTTGTTGTTGTTGCTGCGCATAGATCGTTGTTGTGTTGTTTGTTGGTGGTGCCGATAGCCGCCGTCGTTGTTGTGGTGTGTGCCATAGCCGGCCCCCGCTGTTTTTTACCAATAGTCTGCGTAACGGAGCATCGTTGGCTACTCACCAGTGTTTGGCGCATCTGGCCATCGTAGCCTTTCTGGCTACTCGTAAGCCAATGGCCACCGCTGGTGTCATTGCGTAGCCTCCTCCTCCGCCACGCTAAAACCGCCGCTAGAATATCCACACTCCGCCAGACCAAACACCGCTATAATAACCGGCTCGCCGCCTAAATATCCACGCCGCCAACCTCTACGGGGGTCTTCCCCCCATAGTCACACCAAGTCAAAGTCAAACCGCGGCGCCACCGTGCCACCATATCCTCTCGCATCGCTGGTGCCCGTAACATCGGGAGGACTAGGGGTATGAAGACGTATGGTCAGTGTACGGCTTGATTCGTACGGTCTTCGTAAGGGATGCTGGTGTGTCTTTTGAAGTAGAGACGGGTATGGCGAGTGCGATCGTCGTTGGGTGTGTTTGTGGAGGATAGGCCGTAGTAATAGTGACGGTTATATTCCGTACAGCCCCCTCACTGTGTGCTAGGGCCGCGCGCTATCTGCAGTAGCCAGAAGTTTCCGTTGGTGAAGTAAAGACTGTATTCAACGAAATCTATGAATGGGTTAGGCTGACTTATGTGATTACTTGATATTTACGCGGCTAATCATTTGGTAAAGCCATTTATTTAATTGACACTGCAAATTTATTGCTCGGGCGCAATCTCACGAGCCGAAGTTTAGAAAAGAGCATATTAGGTAAACGAAATAAATTAACCGGAAACGCAAATACACCAAGACGTCGCAGGGGCGGACAGCCGTCCGGGCGCGCGCACGGGCGGGGCGAATGCCCAATACGATGTGGGGCTGGGTTGAGCGGACGGGACACGTGGGCATTGATGCTCAATTATTATATATATTCGACGGTTGTTGTCCAGTTAAAACGGAATAGATGGATGAGCACGGTTACCGAGCGCGACGGAAGCGCACCATAGCCTTGCCAAAACGTTCCGTCATCACATGTCTCTTCTGAAAGAGCACCGGGAGGGAAGTGTAACACTGTATAAAAAGAGCACAAAAGTAAGCGAATACCCATTGTACGTAGTTGGCTGAAGATGCAGGATGAGTAAGTAAATGCCGGCTAGAGCCGATGACGGGCGCGCGCTCAGAAAATTCAAGTGATAACGAGGCCAACCGCTTGCAGCGGACAGTGAAGATTCCAACACTGACTAAAAAAAAAATCCAACGAACATCTACTACTACAACAGTAATCAAAATCGCAGATCGAGGCCTAGTGTAACGCTCGCTATGGCTAACCCGTGCAGCACGTACAATGTTTGCATTCGGAATTCGACTCATAGCCGCCGATATCTACTTATCACGCCGGAGGCAATGTTTTCACGCAGGGCGCGGCTGTTATAACCCGGAAGACGGCGGTAGCGCGCTATCGCAACGAAAAGCAATAGCTGTGCGCGCGTGCACGTACCATAGCGTGGCACGCAGCGCGGCTGACACACGTGCTAACCGACCATGCGCGACGTATTTGCTTAAGCCTAAGAAGAGGCTGACAGTGCGACCGAGCGTTATGGATGGCGTTTAGATAAACCACTGATTTTATAGATCTTCTTTATAAATGCGTATATGAAACTCATGTGGTTTTTCACAAGCGTATATTCTAGACAAATGTCATACCCGATGATGAATGTGGGTATAGATATGAAACCTGAACTCTGAAAATCGTTTAACGTTTCGATGAGCTGCCTAAGATACGATGCCAGTCCTATATCAAACCCTGCTGCCATCTCCAACTGAGCTGCGCAGTGTTCTCTGTAAACTAGAGGCGCAGAGCACGCGTAGTCTTGATTTTCCCGTATAGATATAGCCCGTCCTCTGATTCTAGCGAGGAACAGCTCGCGTCTTTAGATTGGTCGGCCGTATGACGCTATGTCGCATGTCTGCAGCAACACATCATCACCAATCGACGTACTTACCTGTGGCTATACTTGTAGGCACCTCGTTGTATATGGTAGCCAAACTGAATCCGTGGCTGGCCGACCCGAACTTGAACATGTGCCTGAAAACAGCGGCCTTGGCTTTCTATGCGGCAGCTTGCGCATACCGACCCGTGCCAACGAAGACAGACGACGGGACTATGCCGCATGGGCGGCAAGCGCAGCGTATCTGTCGCAGCCATAGCACAAACCGTCGCCAAGCATGGAGGGTTCATACCGGACAGCAACAATAGAGCCACTCCTGCATGCACAAGCGCTCGCAAATAATGCAGGAATACGAGATTATACGCAGAGCACAAAAGTATGGACATCGGCGAGGACAGTCGTGTCTCGGGTTAGCTCTCATTCTGGCTTAGCTATCGCATACGCAGATCGAGTCGGCTTGTGCCGATACGGCACTTACAGAATGTATGCCGTGTTCGTAATAATAGTTACAGGCATTTAGAGGATAACCCGAGTTGTTTAATGCGTCAAAATTCAAGCAGGAAAAAGATACTGAAAGGTGTTTACTGATTCTGAGATCACGCATATGAAGGCGAAATGTCCGGATACCTAATTGGCAACAACACCACGCACGACAAGCAGCGTAGCCAGGGGGGGAGTCCTGGGGCCCTAGGACCCGCCCAATTATAAAATCAAAAATAAAAAAAAACAAAAAATAATTTGTATTTTTGTAGTTTGAAAGCAATTTCAAAATTATCCTGTGTATATTGACGTTAGGTCAGCACAGCATGGTCGGGTTAGGCTGTCGTTGTATGAGCTGCCAGAGAAAATAGTCATTGTCAACCAAAACAGCGTCTAAATTGATTTTAAAGCACTTACTTGTTTAATTTAAGAAAAAAAAAAATTCAGACGCCACCCGACCCTTGTTATCGCTCGAGGACGCCCCCTCCCACATCCAAATATCCTGCTACGCCCTTGACACGACCACCAGCGGCCGCCACCCCGCCACAGCTACCACACGACACCACGCACCCCCACCACACGCCAACCAAGGACCAACAACAACAACGAACAACAACAAAAACAACACATGATAATTGATGATGATTATGTGATTATTATTCTTGATGAGGTATGAATGATGATGATTAGAATGGTTGTGGATTTCTGGCCTTGTTTTGTGGATAATATTGCTACTAAGTGGATTGGCTCTAATTGTGGATTTTCTGCTAGCTAAATGTGGATTTTGCTACTCGCATTTCTTATGATCTCATTGGTTAGCCAAGAATTAGTTGGCTAAGAGACGCTGTTTGAACAATGGTTTCTTTCAACAAAAACAACGGAATTTTCTGACACAGAGATTCATTAAGCCTCTGCTTTCCTTCTAAAACGTGTTATATCTGAAAGATAAATGCAAAATTTTTTAAGTTAATTATTTACATTGTAGAACTGCTTGAACATTTTTGCAATATCAATCTTTTAATTTGAATGATTCCACTGTTCATTGGGCTGAGAAGTTATATAATCTGACATAATGCGAAATAATATTGCTTCATAGAATAGTGAAATGTAATACTAGTTCCCTAAATTAAAAAACGAAACCAGAAGCAAAGAACCTAAGTAATATAATATAATACATCATAATATAATAAAGAGAGAGAGAGAGAGAGAGAGAGAGAGAGAGAGCGAGAGCGCGTCAGAGAGAGCGAGAGAGAGCGGAGAGAGAAAGACAGTGGGTGTGAGAGAGAGCGCGCGAGAGAGAGAGAGAGCAGTGTGTAAGCCGAGAGAGAGAGAGAGAGAGACGAGAAGAGAGAGAAAGAGAGAAAGAGAGAGAGAGAAAATAGTACGAGAGCAAGAGCGAGAGAGAGAGAAGAGAAGCGAGCGAGCGAGCGCACGCGAGAGAGAGAGGGAGAACGAGAGGAAAGAGAGAGAGAGCAAGAGAACGAGGAGAGAGAGAGAGAGCGAGAGAGAAAGAGAGAGAGAGAGAGAGAGAGAGAAAAAGATCGCGAGAGCGAGAGAGATCGCGAGCGAGCGAGAGCGAGAGAGTGTGAGAGAGAGCGAGAGAGAGAGGGAGAGAGAACGAGCGAGCGCACGCGAGAGAGAGAGAACGACAGCAAAAAGAGAGAGAAGAGAGAGAGAGAAGAGGGAGAGCGAGCGAGCAGCGCGCGAGGAGAGAGAGAACGAGAAGGTGAGTGTGAGCGACAGAGAAAGAGAGAGAGAGAAGCGAAAGAGAAAAGGATAGAAGGCGAGAGAGAAAGAGAGAGAGAGAGAGAGAGAGCGAGAGAGAAAGAGAGAGAGAGAGAGAGGAGAGAGAGAGAGCGAGAGAGAAAGCGAGAGAGAGGAGATCGAGCGAGAGAGAAGAGAGAGAGAGAGAGAGAGAGAGAGAAGAGAGAGAGCGGGGAGATAACGAGAGCGAGAGAGTGAGAGAAGAGCGAGAAGAGTGAAGAGAGAGGGCGAGCAAAGAGAGAGAGAGAGAGAGAGAGAGAGAGAGAGAGAGAGATAGAGAGAGCGCGCGCGCGAGAGTGAGAGAGAGCGAGTGAGAGCGAGAGAGAGAGAGAGAGAGAGAGAGAGAGATTGCGAAGAGAGAGAGAAGAGAGCGGAGAGTGAGAGAGAGAGTTAGAAGAGAGCAAGAGAGAGAGAGGGGCGCGCGAGGCGAGGGAAGAGAGGGAGAGGGAGAGAGAGGGAGAAGAGAGCGAGAAGAGACGAGCGAGAAGAGAGAATAACAGGCGAGAGAGAGAGAGCGAGAGAGCGAGCGCGCGCGCAGAGAGAGAACGAGAGCGAGTGTGAGCGAGAGAAAAAAAGAGAGAGAGAGCGAGAAAGAAAAAGAGGGCAAGAGCAAGAGAGAAAAGAGAGAGAGTAAGCGAGAGAGAAAAAAGAGAGAGAGAGAGGCGAGAGAGAAAGAGAGAGAGAGCGAGAGAGAAAGAGAGACGAGAGGAAGAGAGAGAGAGATAAAGGAAGGGAATCAAGAAGGGCAGGAAGGCGGAAGGCCAGAGAGAAAGAGAGGGGAGAAGAGAGCGCGGAAGAGAGAACGAGAGCGAGAGAACAGAGAGCGAGAGACGAGGGCGAGAGAGGAGAGGAGAGGCGAGAGAAGTGAGAGAGAGCGAGCGAGAGAGAAAGTGAGCGAGAGCGAGAGAGAAAGAGAGAGAGAGAGAGAGATCGAGCGAGAGAGAAAGAGAGAGAGATAGAGCGCGCAGAAGAGAGAACGAGAGCGAGAGAACGAGAGCGAGAGAGTGAGAGATAGCGAGAAAGAGTGAGAGAGAGAGCGAGCAAGAGAGAGAGAGAGAGAGAGAGAGAGGAGAGGAGCAAAGGAGAGAGAGAGAGAGAGAGGCGAATGAGAGAGAGAGAGAGAGAGAGCGCGAGAACGAGAGCGAGAGAGAGAGCGCAGCGAGGCCGAGAGAGAGCGAGCGAGAGACCGGGGAGGAGGGAAGAGAGGGAGAGGCGAGCGAAGAAC